TTTTTAATATCTTAACCAATTTGTATCAAATTTATACAATATGTAGTTTAAAATAGGTTGTTTATAATAATAAAGTTTTACAATACATATTGTTTTTAAAAAATTAACTTTACATATAACTAAAAATTTTCCTGGATGCTATATGGTTTTCTCCTAGTTACACAAAAAATTGCTAATTATAATTGGTCAAATCATGTGTTGTTTACATGTAAATCATATGATACCATATGATATTAGTTACACAAAGTTGATCTACAATCTATTTTATATGAATTTGGAAATACCATAAATGGCCATATAAAAGACCCCCATGGTAGTAGACCCCCTACTAATGTACTCAGATTTATATCACAGGTTATTTATTTGGTTGAATGTAAAAGACCCGGGTCTTTAATACCGGGTACTTTATATAGAAAATTAAATTACATATCGATATATTTTAGGGCTATAATAGAGCAATTATTTTAACTTGTTTTTGATAAGATTTCTTGCAAATAAATCTACATATTCTTAAAAGAATTGTATTTAAATTATTTATATTCAATCCACAAATAAATTATACAACTAAAAATTATTTAATACATTACATTTAAAGCAGTTTAGATAGCAACAGCAGTGTTTGAAAATTTATTATGAAGTTGTGCTAAATCTTTGATATATTCGTGAGTTATTTCAATTTACTTTCTATATAAATTCTCTAAAATTTGATATTAAAAAGTCATAAAGACTTCCTCTATTTGTATATTAAAACACTATCAATTATTCATTGCTAATAGTGTTTTGTGTTAGTTCATATATTTCAAGTTTACTACCCATCAACCTATTTCTATAATATTTCTAGTTCCAAATATTTTCATATTCGACCATCTCATTTTCATAAAACAGATCCACTTCTTCATTTTCATAATTTTTGTCCATAGCTAAACTAACACCTTGAATTAAATCACTGTCTTGAGTTGGTTCATAAACATTTTTATTATCTTGACTTAGATTGTATGAGCTTTCACCATCTTGACTTAGATCATATAAGCTTTCACCATCTTGAGTTAAATCATAGATACTTTCATTATCTTGAGTTAAATTGTAGACATGTTCATTATCTTGAGTTAAATTGTAGACACTTTCATCGTCTTGTCGAATTATAAATATTTTTATCTTTAATTAAATTAAGATGTTTATAAACAATTTTATCCAATAACAAATATACTTACCAAAGTTATCTAAATTCAAACAATCTTTGTTGTTACGAACTGACTCTAAGTTTGTTAAATCAAAAACATTTAAAGCATATTCATTAATTATAAACATACTTACTATCACTATTTGTGTTTAAATTTTCATGACTTCTACTATTATTCGTCTCTGAATTTTCAAATATATAATTTCCATGTTTGTGTTGATTTTTTGGATTTTCCACTCTATCATAATCAAAAATTCTTTCGTCCTCTGATCCATCTTGTGCAACAGAAATACTACAACATTTGAATGATCATATAATAAGGTTAGTATCAACTTGATTTCATGCTGTATTTACCCAATTAGCTACTAAGCTATATAAAGAGCACTGAATGCGGCCTGTAGAAGTTAGTTGCTAAATTTCGTTTGCTATCCATTCGTTGTAACTTTTGGATACTAAATAAATTAAAATTAAAAAAATTTTTTTGCTTTATATTAATTAGAAATTTATATGTAAAATTTTTTTAATTAGAGTTCAAAGTTAGAATTTTTAATAAAAAAGTATAAGCGGGTTTTATTCTGATTTCATTATGATCTCATTATGATCAGCAACAAATTAATACATTTTTTATTAAAAACCCTAATTCTAAATCCTAATCAACTAAAAAAAATAATAATAAGTAAATACCTTATTTTTAAATGATCTGTTAATACAAACGTCTAACGGTTGTAATTTACTAGTCAACCCATCTGGAATGACTGCAATATTTGTATTTTTTTCACAAAATCAATGCTTAACTATATCTTGAATATGACCCCGAAAACTATCTAAAACTAACAATGAGCGAGGATTAATAGTCAAAGGTGCATGTTGGTTCCAAACGTTTTCTATCCACCAAATCATCTCATTTGAGTTCATATATCCTTCAGGATTTGTTTGAATAATAACCCCAGGTAGAAATTCTTGCTGTGGTATATTTACCAACTTAAAAATAATTACTGGTGGTAGCTTTACTCCATTGGCCATGCAACCAAGCACTATAGTAAATTTTAACTTTTTGTGACCAGTCATACGAATTTTAACTGTTTTTGTGCCAGTTATATCAATAGTATAATTTGATGGCATATTAAATGACAGTGGAACTTCATCCATATTAGCTATAAGGGCAAGAGGATAATCATGTTGTATACGTCAATAAAGTACAAAATTCAAGAATTCATTTATTTTTGGTTCAAGATCTTCTGGTAATTTTTGTGCAACAGTAGTTCAATAGCGATTGTTTAGTTTATGACGGTGCATAAAACCATCTAGCCATTTGTCACTCCATTTACATTCGTTAATATTTGGATAAATTGAAATAAAATGCAATTGCTTGGCTAAATGGGCTTTAGTTTTAACCATGTAATGGGAAACTAATTTTTGCTTTGCACATAGAGATTTTACCCAAGAGATTAGATCAGTTTCCAATAATGAATACTTAGCATCTCTTCCAGTATAGTAGGGTGAAAAAGGGAGTTCTGGGACACTTTTTTGGTACCCTGGGTACTAAAGTATTCATTTTGCT